GCCGAAAGTCGTAGAAACGCAGTTTTATCTGGGAGCAAGAAACGTAGCTCTAATTTATGGCTTAATTACTGTTCCGACCGCTTTCTTCGGAAACTTGGCCGGTGAGTCTTGAACGTTGTTTTCTTATCTTTCACCGTAGTGCCTCAAATATTGTCCGCGCGGCATCAACTGTCTCAGACCGAACAGCCTGTTTTGCCGGTTGTTTTGACCGAGGCTCTTTGTAGTCTGGGGATTTCCAGACCTCTTCAATGTGCACTAAACCGGACGTTTTTTGGCGTCATCAGAAGGAAGAGCGAGCAACTCCCTTGTGTCTATGCAACAGCATTTTCATGGACCAATTTATTTTCAGATCGATATGACTGAAATAAGTCGTACAAATCAGTCATCAAACACCTTAGGCTAGAAAATAGTATTTCGAATGTTTTGATAGCATTTATGCACGCATACGGAACTGTGCTTTCATTTTCGCGAGAAAAAGTGCTTCAAAATGATGCTAAGAATAACTTGAACTATGAAAACGCCGTTGCATAGGCTAAGTATGGGAGTTGCACACTTCTGACTATGGGCTTCTATCTTGGAAAGGTTCGTTGGTTATCTGCTGTTGACTTATAGTTTAGGTATTGATCATTCGCTCGCACTCGTTTGTTTTATAAATTACAGTAGGGTCAAATTAAAAATTAATGTAGGAGGTGGAATTCGAAAAACCTTCTTCTTGCAAGAAGACGTGAAACGTATGTCCCTACGTTGTTGTTGTTGTTGTTGTTTTTTTTCAGGGTCATACATAAACAAACGCCTGAAATTAAACACGACTCACTCGGCCAGGATGTGTTTTATTGTCTCGTTACTTGGTTTTCTCCTTACCACCTTGATGTATATCAAATGCGAGACACCATCCATTCCTGGTGTGAACACATCGTATCAAAAAAGGTAAAAAGACTTATTTCCTTTATTTGTCATTTCTCATACTTCTTCTGTCTTCTCCTTGGCCAGACTCCCTTACGCTTCCCTTTAACATCGTCAAACTTCAAGTGGTCTATCAAGCATCAGACTCAGTGTTTCATCACCAGATGAAATACCAAGAAGAAGCACTGTGTCGAATGCCTGATATTACTTCTCAAACAAAATTATTCTTTTATTTTCTATATTTTTTATAGCCGTCCCTCGATTAATCGCCTCCCTCCGTCAATAATATTCCCCCCGCCTTATTTAAGATAATCGCCTCCCTCGAATAATCGCCCCTCACCCCTCTCGCCATCTTCTCTTCCTTTTATACCCTCCCTGTCGAGGTGAAGTGGATTCTGATCCAGCAAAACGGATCATTGACGATTCAAGCTCTGACGCCGAGGATATTGACATTGAAAATTAATCAAGGAACCAAATTTGTAACACTTAGTAAAAAAGCCGAGTTTATTTGATGTGATCATTATTTAATTTAATAAGATAATAAAACAAAATATTTAAGGCACGACTTCCAGTGAGTAATGTTTGAAATAATCGCCTCCCTCGAATTATCGCCCCCGCCTATTATTCAGGAAATACGGTATATTCTTCTGAACAGCTCGCCGGGCCCGCCCCAGCTTTCCTCACCTTGTAACCAGGCCTGTAACTGCAGTGTGGTAAGCTATTCCCCTGTGTGCGGAAGGTCGCTGACCTATTTTTCACCTTGCCATGCAGGGTGCACGATCGCAAGCAAAACGCAGGTACCGTACCTTTAATATATTCATTCCAAAATAAGGTACAACCCGTTTATAGCAAAATTTAAAAAATCACGAAAAATCGCCCAAAATGCTAATAATTGAGGACTTGTTACGATCGTTTGTTTAGGAGCTGCTCGTAAAGTCTCTCCTGATTGGACCCAGAAAACAATAACATGTCATTCTTTCAATTGCTTCAGTGTTGTTTGGGGTCAGGGTTAGGCACCATTGGTGACTTTTCTGAGCAGCTGCTACATGAGCCGTTACGATTGCTGAAGCTAGGAAGTGACACCAATTCAATTCAATTCTTTACTTTACACTATACAAGACATTTACAAGTTGTATACAAGTAGTAGGAAAACAAAATAGATGATAAGTAATTATCAAGTTAAAAAGAGATAATGTACGCATGTGTACAGTGTCCAAAATAGCCTGAAATTCATCCGATTGCTTCGAGTCGTTTTCTCCTCTTACTGAGGGAGTAATAACGACTCGAAGTAATCGGATGAAATTCAGGCCATGTCCAAAAGGAGTAAGAGCTTTCTAGTTGGACGCCGTCACGTTAAGACCAGAAATATTAAGGCACCCATAAAATTTCTTTCAGACTGGTTCCTGGTCGTACTCCAACTGCACCTGCCTGGCAGATATCGGTCAGTTCCCAGGAGAAGTGAATAAAGGCATCTGTCTGGTTGACTGCAGGGTCAAGTTCACTTTGTTTTTGACTCTCATCTGTGCGACAGTATTCCTAACGTTTTTAAATTATACTCCTGCGCTGATTGTCACCTTGAGGTTTGCACTGTTTGTAGTAATATATTTTTTTAACATTTCCTCTATGAAGAAACACCCCAGATTCAACCCTGCTGCCAAGCTTTCCAGTCAGTCACGTTTTTACTTTCTTCATTCCACATTGATAGCTTTCTTGCATTTCTTGCTGTTATGGGCTCCTGACATCACCCACAATACACCTTGTTTGCCCCCAAAACTTTGCCTAACCTTTGTTTTTTATTTCTCCTGGGTATATATTACAGTGGTCCCAAGAGAAATAAAAGAGAAAGCTTATGCCAAATGTTGGGGGCAAAACAAGGTGTATTATGGGAGATATGCAAATGTTGAATGGTCTGAAGGGTGTAACGCTTGACTGGTTTTCGTCATTCCTATCTACTAGGCCACAGAGGGTATGCAGTAAAGGGGTGTGTACTTATTCCCAGTTGTGTTAGGCTTACCTCGAAGAAAAATAAGACACTGACTTCTCTATTTTCTAAACAACGTATTCACGAGTTCCCCATAGTTTTAACCAGAGGGTGGTGGTGGTGGTGGTGGTGGTGGGGGGGGGGGGATGGGGTGGAGTAGAGGGGTGGAAGAGACGAGGCCTGGTACCAAGAAACGATGTTGCAAAGCGGTCACGCCTGCGTGGTGGTCAGCGGATAATTGCAGTATTTTTCTCACAGTAAATATTTTAATAGAAGCGAGAAGCGAACTACCCTGCGAGCAGAGTCCACATTTTCGCTGCGTGAAACCTGAAATTCGACATGTAAATAAGACAACGAAGGTTTTAGACTGTAGTTCTTGGACTGTATGTTTTCATCAATGTGGGTCATTGTGTTAGGTTTCAACGGTCTTTCTTTTTTTTTCACTTTTCAGGAGTGTACCAAAGGCTCAAGAGTCATACGCGCTAGGACACCAGATGACCCTTATGAGAGTTTTGGGTGCCATTCCAGGCCCGATCGTATATGGAGCCTTAATAGACCAAACGTGTATTCTATGGAGCTCAAAGTAACTATCGCCCTTAGTCGTCAGCTCTCGTTTTATGTCATTTTAGAATCACATTAAGCAGATTTTTCAGGCTACAACAGCAAATAGAATCAAAAATGAGTGCGTGCGAAAGTCTCGCGGCACTGGTACCTTGCGCATGCCCGCAAGTCCCTACTTCGCACGCTATTCTGCGCTTGGGTTTAAGTGCCTATCACCTAAAATTTTTTATTTTCTTATCTGAAACTACACCTTATTAAAATAACTTCTGCGAAGTTTGAACCAAAGGCGATTTTTTAAGAATTTTTTAAAAACGTTCAAATTTGCCGGCATTTTGGCACATCATTCGTCTTAGTCTTCTTTCGGGGTATGACGTACTTTAAGGAACACGTGACTTTATCGACAGGAAAACAGTAAAAGTTCTGGTAGGTTTTTCTGTTTCAGGAAAAATTTTCTTCTTGCGAAGACATTGCGATTCACTCCTTACTTGTAATTGATCTTTTTTGTGCTGTTGAAGGAAAGGTAATGCGAGTTCCTTAATTTACGTCACATGACGTCATATATGAGTCTGCTAGTTTGCGTGATCAGCGGCGCGGGTGTACCGCAAAAATGTGGACTTCAAAAATTGGTTAAAAAATCGCGTTTTGTTGAAATGGAAAATTTTTTTCGCAGAAGGTATTTTAATAAGGTATAGTTTAAGATTAAAAAATATAAAATTTTAGGTGATGGGCACTTTAAGTAATGGGCGTACTACAAAGGTTCGTCTTGTCTGACTATTCCAATGCCTTTAAATGGTATTCAGGTGAATCTTTGCTGACGTCCTTGTTTAAATTTTTTTTCACTAGCATACGGGTTAGCCCATAGAAGACGTCCCCGTATACACAAATCAGGTTCAAAAGTTGAAAGAGCTGATTAATTTGAACAGTTTGTGCAATTTCCAGCTCTTTGTGATTCAGAACAAAGGAACTAGCAGCAATAAAAATTTGCAAAATTGCTGGGTGGCAAAACATTAATGAGCCCATATATTCTTTGCAAAGTTTGGGATTTTTCAAAGAGAATTTCTTTGGAAAAGGCTGTTGACCCACATATGCAGTCACTGTGACTTTCCACGCTTATTCCATTTTTCAAGAATGACAAATACACCGGGCGAATCTGCTTAAGTCAAAGTGAACTGCCCTCGGGCCAAAAGACCTGATCTCGTCTCACGCAAGCTCTGTCGAAGTGGTGGCAACAAATCAACCCACACAGCAGTGAGAGAGTGAGAAGAAAAGAAAAACGGGTAAGAAAGGTTAAGAACACCTTAGTGAAACTTTTTTCATTGCAGGTGCGGAAAACAGGGATATTGCCTGGAGTACGACCACATTGGACTAGCAAAGGTAGTGCTAGGAGTTTCATTGGCGGTGAAATTTCTTACCACCGCGTGTTTTGCTCTCTCGTGGTTCTTTTGTCGGCGGCGCGGCGAAGGGAACAACTCAACAGACCTGAATGACAAGGACTGTGAAGAGACTCGCTGCATTTATGAAACAACTATTTGAAGTTGAGACAGTAAAACGGACGAGCCAGTTAACAT